GGCTGCTTTCACTAACCTTCTAATATTGACAAGTTTTATAACATATTTATTTTTTTTCGTTAACGCGATTGCATATTATAAAACAAAATTATTAAAAAATGTAAAACAGTTACTTTTCGTGGTAATATATTATGCGCGGTACGTTGTTGTGAGAGGGACAGCGAAAGCTAGACGGAGGCGATTCGAAAATCAACCAAATGTTGCTGTAAGCTAGGCCGAGAAAAATAAGTCGGACACTCGACGCGATGCCGGGACTCGAACCGAGGACTTCGTATAGTTCGTAACACAAAACCACCGTCTTGCCGCGGAGCCACACAGCCCGACCGGTAGCGTAGCGTAGTTCTTGACTGATATCTTACAGCTCGGCCAGCCTGAATTGTCATTCGTCTCGAATGACCGAATAGTAATGTGATTGTCAATCCCACGGATAAATGGAACTTAATCCGACTCCCCCCGAGATTCACTGTCGGTAAAGGTGAGAAGCGTGTGGTAATTCTCAGAGGGCACACAAGTACCAAAGTCCCTACTGAGTCCCACTATCCGCCTCGAACACAAATCTCATTTCCGAGAACCAAACACCTTTCCGAAAAATCGTTTCTTGACTGAGGGTAGTAGATCCTTCATCCCACTTCTGAAGCTGTAAGCTAGGCCGAGAAAAATAAGTCGGACGCTCGACGCGATGCCGGGACTCGAACCGAGGACCTCGTATAGTTCGTAACACAAAGCCACCGCCTTGCTGCGGAGCCACACAGCCCGACCGGTAGCGTAGCGTAGTTCTTGACTGATATCTTACATTGCATTGTCCCCCTCACCGCTCCACGGGCAGTCGAAATGTCCCATAACAATCGAATACACTTTACGTATGTTCACTTTGTATTGGCAACTTTAATAATTAATAATCAGCTACTTTTCGTGGTAATATATTACAATTTAACTTGTGATAGTACTGCGATGGTTTTAAATATACGTCGTATCGGTCAGCAGTTGGAAGTATTTAAAACAATAATTTTATTTAATATGTATTTAAAAGATGACTGCTGGTTTATCGGTGAGCCGGGTGAAGGGGGAATATGAAACTCGCACGCGTCCGCCCTTCCACATCAAAACAATTGTTGTAGAGGTTGTTTTCACTAAACATCTAATATTAATGCATCGATTTTCTCTATTACTTTCATATTTCAAACAAATTTTTTTATTAAAGTTTTTTACAATTAGATAAAATAATTTTTCAAAATTTTTCTTTTTAAATATTTGTCTTACCAGTCAGCAGTCGGGTTCTTATTTTAATTAATATTTTAAGGTCCGGTAGGTCGAAGATGGTGGAGGTGCGAGTGAAAGGTGAGAGAGAATGATAAAAAAAATTGTAATAACGAGAAAGAGTGAATTACGGCGAAAGAGATGGCCCGCGGAAGTGGTTGGTGGGGAGAGGGGAGGGGCGGGTGGAAGAGGTCCGGTGGACTGAAGATGGTAGAGGTGCGAGTGAAAGGTGAGAGAGGATGTTAAAAAGTTTTAAAACAAGAAAGAGTGAAATACGGCGAAAGAGATGGCCCGCGGAGGTGGTTGGTGGGGAGAGGGAGAGAAGCGGGTGGAAGAGGTCCGGTGGGCTGAAGATGGTAGAGGTGCAAGTGAAAGGTGAGAGAGGATGTCAAAAAGTTGTAATAACGAAAAAGAGTGAATTACACAACGACATATAGACGGAGCCTTTCACCGAGGGGTAAGGAATAATCGCGGTGAGAGGGGTAAGGTCACTTCGACTAGTTTCGTCGTGACTCGAATAGTAATCGGTGGTTCTCAACCAATTCTCAACAGCTGCGGTCCGAAATATGCATGTAGTGCTACCGATACATAAAATACGTCATGTATACTAGGGTGTTTCCAAATTAAATGGCAAAACTTCGGGAGCGTGTAGAGGAGTAAAAAACTAAGAAAAAAAGTCCTATAAACATATGCTCGTTTTTGCTCCGTTTCAGAGAAAATCGAAAAAAAATGTTTACATTTCTTGCCATATCTAACACCGACATTATTTTAGCGTGCCGATAACGCTGTAAACATATTTTGGATAAATTATTAAACATAATATGTAATAAAATGCATTTAATTTAATTTTATATTATTTATAATACTGCAGTGTTATCCTGATTTAATAATAAAATATAAACTTTTATGGAAAAAAAAAAATAATATATATATACTTGTTCATATAAATGTTTTTACTTATACATGAAATGAAATTTTTCGTTTCAGAATTCTTTCCATCTTTAACTATTCCTCGTTTTTTCTTTTAGTCCGATTTTTGCACTTAGAAACAACGCAGACACTCATTTTTAGAAACGTAACTTTGCTGTAAAGTGCTGTAAACAGATACAAACAGATATGAGATGAGAATTGGCGATGCAAAGATCCTTCTAGTGGCGGCCGGTAGAAGCTTTGCTAGTCAGACACCTTATACGTGCTATAATGGAAAATAATAAAGTAAAATCAAAAAGAAATACTACATAATGTTTTGTGCATAGAACTTATAATACTGGAATAGGAATAACCTATCCAAGCAGTGTGTGGAAAGTGTGAGCAACTGAGAGCAGGACAGAAGATGTATTGCTGTCCTGCTCAGTGACTTTTTCTCTTTCTGCGCATGTGTCAATCCAAGCAGAACAACAAGTACATATGTAACATCGAAATGACATTTCGACAAAAACATGACATGAAATGACATTTCGATATTTTGACAAGTATTTATTAATATATTACGAGTTTGTAATACACTTACCTGTGATAAGACGCTGTTTTATCACGATTTTACCACACAAAACACAATACCGAACCATTTTCGATCGTCTCAAAATTAATAAGCAAAAAATCTTGCAAATATGGCCATGTTATCATGGTTGCATCTGAAAATTTTGATTGGCAGAGGATGGTCATGCGCATAAAGAGAAAAGTCACTTGAGCAAGACAGAAAGATATTTCTGTCCTTTTTATGTTGCTCACAGTTCTACGCTAGCATTCCTATTCCAGTATTATAAGTTCTATGGTTTTGTGGCACAATGCCATAATTATAAACAGAAGGGGATTAGTTTTCATCACTTAAAAAAAAAATTATTATTTTTTTTTTTAATGATGAAAACTGATCCCCTTCTGTTTATAATTATGGTATTGTGCCACAAAACATTATGTAGTATTTCTTTTTGATTTTACTTTATTATTTTCCATTATAGCACGTATAAGGTGTCTGACTAGCGAAGCTTCTACCGGTCGCCACTAGGAGATCTTTGCATCACCAATTGGATGAGAACCGTTGATAAATATGTCAGAGTAAAAGGCGAAGTAGCCGAATGTTAATGAGTCTCGGCGAAATAAGCCGATATGCCCTTAATTGCCCTTAGTTGGGCTGTGATGGGAGTGCTTCTGTCTTGCCCCGATTATTCCGCCCTCCCTTGCCTAAAGTAGCATGCTCCGTCTATATGTCGTTGGAATTACAGCGGAAGAGAGGGGTGGTGGGGGTTGGTGGTGGGGAGGGGGTGAGGCGAGTGGAGGAGGTCCGGTGGGCCAAAGATGGTGGAGGTGCGAGTGAAAGGTAAAAGAGGATGTTAAAAAGTTCTTAAATACGGACGGACAGACGGACAGACATACAGAGAAGGAGACGTTTCTTAATTTTTCATTAAAATCATCACTTTTCGACCGTTTGTATCTCCAGAACGGCTAGACCGATTAAAAATTTTTTTGTCTCGAATTACTCGTGGCGATGCCGCCTTTCAGGACATATAACGTTTGATTCAAAATTTTTTATATTTTGGTAGTTATGCACCTCCCAAAAATGGACTTTGGTGGCTCGGGATAAGAGACTTGTAGCGTCTCTCAGTTTTTGAACATGGCCGGAGACGCTACCGCGTCTCCTGATCATTTAATTTAATTGTTACTAAATTAACAAAATGGATATGTAGTTACTTGCAATATAGTGTAATTTCACATTATATTCATTGTAATTTGTTGCCTTGAGAATTGACTTTTTTACTGATTAATTGACTCCTACATTATATTCTTTTCTTTACATTCTTTATTATTTGTATTCATTACTGACACTGTTTTATTATTTTACTATTTGATTTAGAAATGTGGAGCTTTTATATTATTTAATGATTGCTTTTTGTCGGACTCTTTCCAATTTGCGCCGAGATGATTAAGTCTTCAATAGCGAGTGAGATTAAATACCTACATCACAAAATTTATATACTTATTTTTCGTATTTTATAATATTTTTACACATGTATTCGTTTTTAATATCATTGTTACGGAATTATCGTCATTAAATTATATTCGTGACAATTCCACGCATCCACGTATCCCCGTACGCGTAGCTCTCGCTGTTTCTTTCTTTAATCCACCTGTCTCAGATGGAATGCTCGCCCTTCTGCGCAGCACCCGAAATTACGCGTTCCGCGCACTCGTTCTGCGTTGAATCCTTCTTTTTCGCAGTCTGATCTCGATCGTTACCAGATCAATATCTCGTAGTCTCGCCTCGCAAACGTGTGCTCCGGAGTAAGCAACTAACGAATACAACACATATTTTCACTGTCAAGTGAACTCTATGATTGTAATACGCATCGCGAGTGTAGACCGAGCAAGCGCATTATATTGCGCGAACTGACTTTCATATCGACCTCTCAATTAACTATCACCTTATTGACGAGTCGTAGCGAGCCGTGACGTACAGCGATATGCGGCTAATCAAGCCTGTATTATTCACACGATAACCTGATTCTAATTATCTAATAGGCATCAATAAATTGTGAATTGTTAGTTGTTCAAACAAGAAAGTTCTCATTTACGACCGCCTGGGTGAGCGAGCCTTCCATTCCAAGGCGACACCAGCGCAAAAACGATACCAGTCACAAACAAAACATTTTGGTCCTTCGAGCCGGATCGCTACCGAGGATAAATACTGTGTCTACTGACTTGTCTTTGACTCGTTATTTATTGACGTGCCTCTTCCGTTGGAAATCATGGCCTCTATCGATGAATTGTTGAGGATGCAGACTCACCTGATGAGCGCAATATCTCGCGCGCTTCCTAATTTCAAGAAGTTGGGACAAGCCAAGATGACCCCTGCCGTCACTCGGCAGCGCCTCACCACTCTCAAGGAAACCTTTGCCAAATGCCAAGAGCTGGATGTTCAACTTTTAGCTGCGGACGAGAAAGTGAAGGCGACTCATGCGTACTTCACCCAAAATTATTTCCTAACCTGTGAGGATTGTTACAACGATGCAGCCGATTTCATGGCTGAACTACTGGACAGTCACGAATCCCGCGAATCCTCTTCCGCTGCATATGAAGTAAGTGGGATTAATCATTCATTTCGGGCCATGTCACATCTGCCGAGAATCAACTTGCCGACGTTCGACGGAACCTTCGAGAAATGGGAAAGTTTTCGCGACAAATTCAAATCGATGATCTGCGATGATCATAATTTAACGAATGTTGATCGTATGCATTACTTGTGTTCCTGTGTAAAAGGAAGTGCAAGTAACGTTCTTGACCATCTAGCGGTTACCAATAATAATTTCACTATCGCTTGGAATATTCTCGTGTCTCGGTATGACAATAAACGTCGCCTTATTACGGTACATTTACAATCGCTTGTCAATTTACCTTCGATCGCTTCAGAGACCTCCAACGACCTTCGTTCCCTTCGCGATCAAACGAATAAAGCTCTTCAAGCGCTAAGCAATCTCGGCTGCGCTACCGAACACTGGGATGATTTGCTTGTATTTCTAGTGTCACAAAAACTTGATAAATCAACACGAAAGGCGTGGGAACTTAAGCTCGGCGATACGGTGGAATATCCACGTTACAGCGAGCTCGATCGTTTTCTCGAAGCTCGCATTCGCGCGTTCGACGCAATAGCACCCGCGACTTCAAAAGATAAATCACCGACGACCTCCAAAGGCAAAACACTTGCCTCACATGCCGCGTCTACCGCTCCGTTCTTATGTCCATTATGTAAAGCGAACCATCTATTGTATCAATGCGCTACGTTTTTAAAGCAAACTCCCGTTCAACGGTTCGATTTCATTAAAACCCAAAAGCGATGTTCCAACTGTTTCAGTGTAAAACATTCTGTTAAGGATTGTACGAATTCTCGCTCGTGCAAACAATGTAATAAACGGCATCACACGTTACTACATTTTGACACCCCCGCTCAGCCACTCGCTACTGAGCCACCGTCGACGTCCACGACCGCGAATATTGAGAGTCTAAGCGCCGTTGCGTCGCATTTAATAACAAAAACAGTAGCACCGAATTCTCAAATCTTACTCGCAACAGCCCGCGTACGCGTTTATTCGTCTCATATATGCTTTGTAAATGCTCGTGCGCTCCTTGATCAAGGATCTGTCGCTACCTTTATAACAGAATCGCTTGCGCAACGCCTTCGACTTAAGAAAATTAATCGTTCCGCCTTCATCACCGGTATAAGCGAAATGCAGTCCGTCGTGCGTTACGCTGCTCAAATCACCATTACCCCCGCGGATCGCAATGGACCTGCTTACTCGACAATCGCGCTTATATTACGATCATTAACCAAATACGTGCCAAATCGAGTCCAGACCGTTCATGACTGGAGCCACCTCAGGGGACTTAAGTTTGCCGATGGTGACCCTATGAGCTCAGATCCGATTGACCTTATCATCGGTGCCGATCTATTCGGCCTGCTCATCCTCAACGGAGTTCGAAAGGGATCTCCAAATGAACCTACCGCGCAAAATACCTCTCTCGGTTGGATCCTTTCAGGACCAACAGCCTCGTTTTCAGCTAATCAGTCTACTATCGAATTTGCGCATCACGGTGTTGTCCTTGACACTCTCGATCGCGATCTTCGTCGATTCTGGGAGATCGAGGAAGTCCCTAGGCAAATTCTTCGCAGCCCTGAGGAACATCAGTGCGATGAACACTTCAGAACAACACACACACGCACGTCTAACGGACGCTATATAGTACGACTGCCGTTTAAAATCGGACCGCCAATCTCATTAGGCGAATCTCGCTCTCACCCGATTTCAAGCTTTCATCGCATGGAACAACGCCTACTTCGCGACACAACCAAAGCTTCCCAGTACCGCGATTTTCTCACAGAATATGAAACCCTCGGTCATATGACCAAAGTTACACCTGCCAAACTTGTTACATCAAACCAAGTTTACTATATCCCTCATCACGCTGTCCTACGCGACAGCAGCGCAACCACCCGACTCCGAGTAGTCTTCAACGCGTCATGCCGTACTTCAAACGGGATGTCGTTGAACGATCATATGCTCATTGGCCCCAAACTGCAAAGGGACTTAGCCACGGTCATCATGCAGTGGCGCCAATACCGTTACGTATTCACCGCCGACATTGAAAAAATGTACCGGCAAATTTTAGTCGATTCCCGCGACACCCACTACCAACGCATTGTATGGCGACCGAACTCCGGTGAACCAATCACGGAGTACCGTCTTCTCACCGTAACCTACGGCACAGCTGCCGCTCCCTATTTAGCCCTCCGAGTCTTAGATCAGCTTGTAGAAGATGACGGAGCCAAATTTCCGCTAGCCGCCCCTGTTCTCCGTCATCAGACATATGTCGACGACTGCGCCTTCGGCGCCGACGACAAAAATCTCGCTCGTCAAACACGCGATCAATTAATAGAATTGCTTAAAAGGGGAGGCTTTCGCCTTCGCAAATGGGCGAGTAACGACTCGGATCTGTTATCCGATATCGATTCATCCGATCATGGTTTAGCTACCCATAAAGTCATGCGAGACGATGAACACATTAAAGTATTAGGAATAATTTGGAATCCTAAATTCGATATATTTCAATTTCGCGTCATTTTACCATCGTCACCCGCCTTCACCAAACGAGTCATTCTGTCGACAACGACTAAGTTTTTTGATCCTTTAGGATGGGCTACCCCTGTCACTGTCACCGCCAAAATTTTCTTGCAACGATTATGGACTCTTCATTGCCACTGGGATGATGAAATCCCTCGCCAACTTCTTGATTGTTGGATGGACTACTATAAACGACTTCCGTGTCTTAATGCTCTGAGCATACCGCGCTGGACCACTTCCAGTTCTCAGACGGTACACCGCGCCCTTCACGGCTTTTCCGACGCATCGACAGCAGCGTACGCTGCAGTGGTGTATCTTCGCACCGTCAATCACGACGGCTCTGTTACCGTAACTCTTCTAACTGCCAAATCAAAAGTGGCCCCTCTTAAAACAATAAGCGTTCCCCGCTTAGAATTGTCCGCTGCAATGCTCCTCGCGCGGTTAATTCAATTTACGCGCTCAGCGCTTCAGCTCCCGAATATAGAGTGTCATTGCTGGACTGACTCCACCATTACACTTGCCTGGTTGAATCAGCCACCGTCCAGATGGAAAACTTTTGTAGCCAACCGTGTTTCGACTGTTCAATCACTAATCCCCGAAGTCCCATGGCGTCATGTCATGACGCAAACAAATCCAGCGGACTGCGCATCACGCGGCATCGCTCCTGACTTACTGGAGAAGCATGACCTGTGGTGGTCAGGCCCTCCCTGGTTACGACAACCTCCCGAGTCTTGGCCTCAGTTGTGCCCTTCGGTCCCTTCCAACGCTCCTCTGGAACACCGCTCGGATCCCCCAGTATGTACATTACATGCCACATCAACCTGGGATCTCGAGTCTCGTTATTCTTCGTGGCCAAAATTACTAAGGATCACCGCGCATCTTTATCACTTTCTGAATCGACTCCGAGCTTGTAAGGATTCACTATATTGTGCCGGTCCGTTGCTTCCCGAAAAATTTCAGCAAGCCAAGAGTTACTGGCTTGGTCGGATGCAGTCGCACATGTTTCCGAGTGAGATTGCAGCTCTAAATCAACAGCGTCCGCTGCCAAAAAACAGCCCGCTCTCAACTCTGAACCCTTATTTAGATAAGGAGGGACTTATTCGCTTGCGGGGGAGACTCCGACGAGCCAACCTCCCGGGAGCGACGAAGAATCCCCTCGTCTTGCGGTCACACCCGCTGGTGGTACTCATTATTCAGCATCATCACCTTCGGATGCTGCATTCCGGCGTTCAATTAACGCTCGCATCATTGCGAAGCGAATTCTGGATTCTCCGCGCCCGCGCTACAGTTCGAGGCGTTCTTTATAAATGTATACAATGTACGCGAGAACGTGCCAACATACCCACTGAACTCATGAGTGATCTTCCGGCCGAAAGAGTTAACCGTACTGTACGCGCATTTATTCATACCGGTGTCGACTACGCAGGCCCGATCGCCGTCCGAACAAATCCCGGACGAGGACATAAATCGCGGAAAGCATATATCGCGTTATTCGTCTGCCTCACGACTAAAGCTCTACATCTAGAGTTAGTCAGTGATTATACTTCGTCTACCTTCATTGCAGCGTATCAGCGGTTTGTGTCCCGCCGAGGATTACCGAAAGCTATGTATTCTGATAACGGCACTACTTTTCATGGCGCCAGTCGAGAAATGTCCAACGCGCATGCAAAAGCGATTCGCGAGAGCTCCTTTCAAAACCAACTCGCAACCGATGGAACTGCGTGGCATTTCCTCCCCCCCTCAGCGCCGCACTTCGGCGGCCTGTGGGAAGCTGGAGTCAAAAGTGTCAAGCATCACTTAAAGCGATGCATCGGTCTCCACACGCTCACCTTTGAGGAGATGTCCACGCTTCTCTGTCGGATCGAAGCGTGTCTAAATTCGCGCCCGATCGCTCCCGTTTCAGATAATCTCGACGATTATCACGTGCTGACCCCCGGTCATTTTTTAGTGGGTACGCCCCTCACCGCTCCTGCCGAACCTAGCGTGCTCGACTTGAACGAAAACCGACTTTCGCGCTGGCAAATGATTCAACGTATCACCGAAGGTTTTTGGAGGTTCTGGTCGAATGATTACTTGCACACCCTTCAACAACGCCCAAAATGGCGCACGGTTCAGCGATTGGCCAAAATCGGTCAAATCGTCCTTGTACGGAACACTTTGGCTCCACCAAGTCACTAGGAGCTCGGTCGTATAACGGCCTGTTATCCCGGGGACGATGGCTTGACTCGAGTTGTAACAGTAAAAACCAGTCGGTCGGAATATAAACGACCAATTACGAAGCTTTGTTTTTTACCCGTTCCAATTAATACCGAGGAGTCAAATGATTCCGTCAAGGCGGGCGGATTTTCTGTTTAGCATTTCCAATGTACCAATATTGCGATTATATACATTCGTACTGCATAATCTCTGTAAATTGTATAAATCACCAATGATGTTGTTTATTTCGAATGCCCACATTCGAGGCGGGCGGTATGTTACGGAATTATCGTCATTAAATTATATTCGTGACAATTCCACGCATCCACGTATCCCCGTACGCGTAGCTCTCGCTGTTTCTTTCTTTAATCCACCTGTCTCAGATGGAATGCTCGCCCCTCTGCGCAGCACCCGAAATTACGCGTTCCGCGCACTCGTTCTGCGTTGAATCC